TGGGCAAGGAATTGGAGGAGGGGTCACATAGGGCGCATACTTGAGCCTGTTGACAGAAAGGCAAAGCAGGCAGAGGAGCTTGTCTGTGCATAGGAGAATGTGGCATAAATAAATGTGCATCGTGAGAAGGAACATGCAGGATCGGGTTAGCAACAGCAGTTGAAGCAGTGACCCCAGCCCCGATGGTTAAGAAAATAAAAGGAAGCACAGGGTGTTGGTGCACACTTGTGATTCCAGCACTTTGGGAGACTAACGCCGGAGGATTGCAAGTTCAAGACCCACCTGGGCAATTTAGCAACTTAGCAGAAACCTGTCTTGAAATTTAAAAAAAAAAAAATTAAAAGCACTGGAGATGTTGCTTAGTGCAGGAGGCCTCAGATTCAATCCCCAGTACTACAAAAAAAAAGAGTGTGGAGGGGGAAGAGGCAGGTTGCTGTCAAGTAAGAAATATCCCAAAGGAGGAAGCAACACAACTTGGTGATTTGTGTGTGTCGGGATGAGTAGACGGAAAGCCCCAGGCAGCAGGTATAAAGAGGGGCCACCTTGGTGGGAACCCACCAGAAGAAGATGAGCCTTCAGGTAACAACACCTGAGCTCTTTAAACAGTAAATGCCACTCCAAATACGAAGGACCTTGTGTGTTTCTGTGCTAGGTTAACAAGTGCCCTATTCCATGAATAAAACCTAAATAAAAGCCTACACTGTGCTTTAACTTAACTGAAGGCAATATTAATGGACACATTTAAACTATACTTGTCCCCACCAAAATCACTACACATACACCAATTTAGGGTTCCCGCAGGCTGGGAGAAGCTACTTTGGAGACATAAATGCCTTCTCTGTTCCTTACAAATAACTGTATTCACACTCACAAAGCCCAACTGTTGTAAAAATATTAGTATTCTGATACTCTTGTGTTTTGTTAATGCATTTAATTATGTACAATATAGCTATTGTTTTCCTTTCACATTTGCATTAATTTATATTAGCCACAGGATATAAAGCACAACTACAATATCAGACTCTTTAGCTCTCTCTATTGCTTCTGCAACTTTTAAATTAATCTCCCATCCTTGCAAAAACTCCAGCTTTCCACCAGCCATACTGGTCTCTTTCTTGCTTTTGCAAACACTGGAGTGCAACAGTGCATTCAGTCAATATACTGGAAATATCAGTGTTCTTATGAAGTTGAATTTAGCCCGTGATCAAAAAAGAACTCTACCACCAGATATTCCCAGTCTTCCTTCTCTACTCATCCTTGATAGGGCAGCCTGTTTACAAGCACATGGCATGGCTGATGTAGATACTGTTTGTGAGACGGATGAAGATGACCACAGTGACCCTGACTTCCAGCTGTTTACCTTGCATCTTGGCCCTAGCACACATTTGTAATGTGTGATGGGAGTGGAGTGACTCTGCTTTGGGAATAAGACCTTTATCAGCTGCATTTATCATTTATTGACTGCATGATCAGTGCCATTGATGGGGTAGTTTCTCCAGCTGTATGACTTGATGAAAGAGTTTGAAATCTGCTTTTTGTATCTATATATCCATATCTATATCTATATCTATATATATATATATATATATATACACACACACACACACATATATATATATACACACATATGTATATATACATACACACACACACACATATACATGGATATTTCTATGGGACTGTGAGATGAACTTCTACCAATATACATAACAGCAGAAACAACCTGCCTAGGCTCTCACAGCTGGTGGCCTGTCTTCCACAGAACCGCACAGGGACCTGGACAGAGAAGCCAGTGTCACTATGTGTGTTCAGGAAAGAGTGAGCTTTTCAGTTATTCAGAGACCATGGTGAAGACGTGGGAGAAGTAAAGGAAAGGACTACACCGCAGTCAGAGCCCTCAGAGTGGCTAAGACTAGATGGTGCTGTCTCACCAGCCCTGTGAATAGCATCCGTCCAAGGGCAACAGGCAGGCTATCTCCTGTCCTTGCAGCAGCTCTACTGCCATGGGAGGCCATGAAGTTTTTACAAGTGTTACAGAAGACTTGAGCTCCAATTCTAGTGGTGCTGTGCTCATGTGTATGTGTGTGTGTGTGGTATGAGTTCACCACATCTGAACATGACTGATGTGAACAATATCTGCTTCACCGGCCCTAAAGAGCAGATAAAGAGGTAAGAGCAGATAAAGTCACCACCCTAGACACCTTTCCTGTGAGTTCATCATTTTTGTTACCAATACCAAGTTGTTAGTAAGTATGACTGTTGGAGAATACTTTCTTAGGAGATAAAACTCTTCTAGACATTTAAAAACTCAGCATCCTCCTCTCTAATGTCTCTGCAACACAACTAAAGACCCTCAGAGTATTACTGTGCCTGTGAAATCATTTTACTCAGTAGTGTGTTTATGATTTTCCAGCTCATGGGAGCTGTGCAAAACAGTGGTCACATAGCCAGCCTGAGAACATCTGTTCCTAGAAGGGCTGCTTGTGAGCTCTGCCCAGAGTGTGGTGTGGGTGTTGGTGTGTCAGGACTACTCTGGCCCCCAACCTCTCCTTGAGAAGGTGGTCACATTGTCTGAGCTGTTTATATACTTGATGTGGTCAGTGCTGGACATGTTCTCTTGTTCTGGGACTCTGGTAACTCTTTTCATGCCACACAGAGGGCCTCTGTGGTCAGCCCCCAATACCACCTCCAGTGGAGACCATGTCACTCATATGGCCAGTGCATTGCTGGGGAGATTCAGCATGCCCTATGTTGGTGTGTTGGTGCATGTCCTCCACAGCAGTGCACCCAGCAGATAGTAAGTAGCATGGGCCCTGTGGTTGCTCCTTGATAGTCATCAAACCACAGTAGCCATAGGGTCCCAGTACAGCTAAAAATGTCCTTTGAGGAAATCAGTACCCTCACCTGTAGCCTGCCCACTCTTCATCCTTTCTCCTGGCTTTTGGGGTACTTTCCTTAGTGCTTTTGCTTTCCCTGGAATATAAACTCAGAGGGGCCGTGGTCTGGTTCCCCAGGCCAGGTGCCTTGATTGTTCCTGCACCACCTTTTCCCAAGCTCAGTCAGATGCTTTCTTTATGTACTTTTTTCTTTTTTTTTCGGTACCAGGGATTGAACTCGGGTCCTTGCACTTGAGAGACAGGCAGCAGCATCACTGAGCTAGATCCCCAGCCCTCAGCCAGGTACTTCCTACATTCATGTTCAAAACAGCGCTCCCCACGCTGCACCCACACACACTGCTCAGGATGAAAGAGGGAACTGGCCATGCTTGGGCTCTTACTCCTAGAGCTCTATCCCCATTCTTCTTCCCTTTCCCATCTGTTCTTCTCCTGCTCTGCCCATTCTCCTGCCTCCTGGGACCCCATCCTCCCCTCGGCTCCGCAGCTCAGTACAGCACAGGCTGAGCACAGAGCTCTTTCCCCCCAGGCACGCCCCACGGGGCCCAGACTGTCACCTTCAGGTGTTACCTTCCAAGGGCCTTCCTGGCTCCCCTTCCTGTGCTCTGTTGTTCTTCACTTCAGCAGCTGCTTCACAGATTACACCTTGTGACAAATGGACTTAAAACAGTGGCAATTTATTCTCTCACTGCTGTGGAGCCCAGAAGTCCTACATCAGGTGTCTAATGGCTGCGGGGAAAAATCTGTTCTGCGCCTGATAGTGCCAGTGTCCCGTGTGTCCTGTGGCTTCCTGTGGCCTGTGCTTGTGTCACTCACTCTCACCCTTCTTCACTTCTTCTCTGTGCATTAACGAAGCTGAGTCCAAATTTCCCTCGTTTACAAGGATGACAGTCCTTGGATTAGGGCCCCCTACTGTAGCATGACCTGGAATCTTTATGGGATTTCATCTGCAAAGAACCTGTTCCTAAATCAGTTCACAGTCATGGTAGGACGTTAGCCTGTGGACATGTCATTTTAAGGAACCCTGTTCAATATCTGATTCGCCTGATAGAATGTAAGCATTATGAATACAGTAACCACAATTTGTTCATCACTGTAGCTCAGATACCTAGAGAGGAGTATGTTATACTCGGTAGATGCTTAATAATGGGTGGCAAGATAGACATGTGGGTGGATAGAAGGGTGAATGGATAAACAGGTGGATGATGGATGGATAAATGAATAGGTAGATAGAAGCTATGGGGTAAATATCAGTGCATAGATTAATGGGTGGGTAGCTGCATGGATGTTATTGCAAGAAAGTGTGGATGAATCCATATTTTCTATAGGTAAGGAAGTTTGGGAAAGAAATTAACTAAATTGTGTTCATTTAAACTTAGCTTACTATAACTTGAGAGCAAAATGGGTGTTCTTCCCTCCATAAGAGAAGTGCTCTGTTTTTAATAGAAGGCTATGAGGTGGTGGGATACAACATGAAATATTCCATTCCTGCACTAAGCATTCTAAGTATTGCTGCTTACAGAGGAGAAGCCAAATCGGTGTCCTGACTAAGCAATTCTCTAATGCGAGAGGCCTCCTGTGGAAACTTGGAGTGAAAGAATTCTAAACACCCCATTTCTTTAAGGCATGAATTGCAAAAAGATGTGGGCAGTTCCATTTTTACCAACATCACTTAAAACACCTTTTGTCAAATAAAAGCCCCAGCGTGTTCAGCTCATGCACCAGTGGCCTTTTAGGTAACCAATTCCCCACAAGGTGCCTCTACTCCTGTGCTCTCCAGGTGCAGTAGGCAGTGCTGGGAAGTCCTCGTGTGAGTGCTGTGTCTACTGAGCCACCTCTCCGGGAAGCCCTGGTGTATCTTAGCCAGGGTGCCAAGCCTTGAATCACTGAGTGACCCCAGGGCTTTCACACAACCTCACCAAGGCCACTCACTCCAGGTTGGTTTCCATCAAAGGCAGTCTAAGGCTGCCATGGGGCTTCACGAGCACTGCCAATATTCTGTGGGTTTTATAGGAGACAGCTAGTTCAAGACCCCTGGAAGAAAGCAGCTTTGTCCCACGCACTGCTTTGCACAGGCCCGTATTCATATCTCATTGTTGTTTGCAGGAGAGGCAGATGCGAACCAGAACAATGGGACCTCGTCTGAGGACACGGCGGTGACAGACTCCAAGTGCACAGCGGACCCAAAGAATGCCTGGCAGGACGCCCACCCAGCTGACCCAAGGAGCCGCCCCCACTTGATCCGCCTCTTTTCCCGAGATGCCCCGGGGAGGGAGGACAACACCTTCAAAGACAGGCCCTCTGAGTCCGATGAGCTTCAGACCATCCAAGAAGACACAGCAGCAGCTTCCGAGGGCCTGGATGTGATGGCGTCACAGAAGAGACCCTCCCAGAGGCACGGATCCAAGTACCTGGCCACAGCAAGTACCATGGACCATGCCAGGCATGGCTTCCTCCCGAGGCACAGAGACACGGGCATTCTTGACTCCATTGGGCGCTTCTTTGGCAGTGACAGGGCTGCGCCCAAGCGGGGCTCTGGCAAGGTGAGCTCTGTGGAGTAAAGGAGCTATAGTTTAACTGGAAAGAGGAAAGGAGAGGTCCAGATGGCCTAGGCTAGTGAGGAGGCTCTGATGTGTACCCCGAGTGTCTTAAGATGCTGGGCCTGGCTGGAAAATGTGTCTGGGCCCAGGGAATAGGGCCTGGTTGCTGCTTGAGCTATTTTCATCTCACTCCTCCATTTCTCCTCTTGCATGGTACTGTGATTAGGGTGTGGCTCTGAAATGCAAGGCCCTTCTGTAGTAGTCTCAGGGTGCCCTGGCTGTGGGCACTGCCAAGAGCACCACATTCTAAGGTCTCTCATGCCCTGTGCTTGGGGCTTTGACTGCTTTTGCCTCTGCGCCGCACTTTTAGGTTCAACATTGGGTTCTGCTCATTTTTTCCTGGAATCAGTGCTGCTAGCTTCCTGTTGCTCTACAGTAACACGACTCGGGTGGAGGAGGCCTTGTGAACAAACTCCTGAATTAATTTTGCCTTGAGTAAACTTTCTCTTTTGTCTGAATCCAGTGGAAGGGAGTGGAGGGGCAAATGAATGCCTGTGAATCAAACCCTAATTATCTTGTGATCCCATTAAATTGTATATGGAATCTTGGAAGTTTTATTGTTTAAATGCAAATGTTCTAAGGACAGCGGTGTATCACACAGAAAATGCTCTTGGTGGTCCATTTTGCAAGAATGGCCTCTAGGGTGAATGGGAGTAGTTAACCATGGCTGCAGCTTGTTAAGTAGCTAATCCCAAGTGACTCTCAGATTGCAGGTGTACGGCACTTAACAAGGATTTACAGTGTTGGATAGTTGGGTAATTTTGGAAAGAGGGGTGTTTTTTTTAAAGGTCCTGATATAGTAGTTCTCAAAAATCTGTTAAGATTTCTTATGCTTGTGTATTGTACTTATTCTGAAAAGCCTTTCAGAATGTAAGAGATTTTGAATAAAGTGAGGAACGGAACCTGCATGATAAGTACGTACCCTCAAAACAACCCTAGGGCAACTTAGAACGTTTAGTCTGCAGCACAGTTCTTAAGGTGCTGTGATCATGAAATGTTGAGACAAATGAAGATTTCAGCTTCACTATTCCTGGGAGCATCAGAGCTCTCAGGAGGCAGTCACTGCCACCACTGCGACCTGAGATTTCATGTTGTGACACTTGTCACAACTCATCTGCTAATAACATTTGGCAAAGCCTAAGTTCTTATGGAATTCATAATCTGACCCATTGCTTCAAATCTATACTGAAGACACTTTATTTTACTTTCTGGCAGCCCTTTCTCACCCTGATGTGTCAGTCACCTGACTTAATTTTAATGGGAGTGCTTTTGCCAGCAAACCTATCAAGCCACACAGTGTCTCAGTGAGTCCCGGATGTCATGAGAAGTCTGGCTGTTATGCCAAGCACTCTACATGCAGGCATCATAGCCAGCTTTGAAAATTTGAGCTGTTCTGCTCAATCAAAGGAGCAGGAAAAATGTGTTAAAACTGTGCAAAAAAAAAAAAAAAAACAGTGGCTGCCTGGCACAAATTCTGTATCAAGCTTCATTTTAGTGGTAATGGTTTAAATTGAAATAAAATTGTGAAAGTCTTTATATCTAGCATTGTGACCAGCTCAAAGTGTAACTGTATACAGTTGTGACTATGTATGTGTACATGTGCCTTTTCCTTCGTGCAAGATTATAACCATCATTGTTTTAAATCTCTGAAGCTCTTCAGTATTGGCACAAATTCTGTATCAAGCTTCATTTTAGTGGTAATGGTTTAAATTGAAATAAAATTGTGAAAGTCTTTATATCTAGCATTGTGACCAGCTCAAAGTGTAACTGTATACAGTTGTGACTATGTATGTGTACATGTGCCTTTTCCTTCGTGCAAGATTATAACCATCATTGTTTTAAATCTCTGAAGCTCTTCAGTATTTTCAAAGAAAAGATTTTAGGCTCAGACATACCCAATCTCTTTGCAAATAGTGTGCCTAGGTTACTAAGGATCCTGAAGAAGAAAAAAAAACATTTTCATAGGATTTTTAAAAATAAAAATAAATTTTAAGTAATTGTTTTTTTAAATTTTTTCAGGCATCAATTCTTTCCACTCCTGAGTGCTTTCAATATAAAAGATTTTTAAATGAACAGCTTTGCCCTTGGGTGCCAAAACAGTCTCTTAGCATTTACATTTGTGATAATAAAGTGACTTGGACCGGGGATTTAGCTCAGTGGTTCCACTCTGCGTGCCTCGCAAGAGCAAGGACCTGAGTTCAATCCTCAGTACCAAAAAATAAAATAAAATAAATAAAGTGGCATGTTGCAAATGCAGGCCTGCCAGAAGCGGATCCTCACATGGTCTCTGCCAAGGCACACAGTGGGGTGACGTCTGACAATGTGTGTCCGATTCAACTGCCTTATGATGGATTATTTTATGTTGCTACACACTTGTTCCAAATGTAACTCAATCCATACCCAAAGACAAACCCACAATCTTCGTAGAAGTCTGAGGCATTTATTGGTGTAGGTTGTTATGGAGTAATTTTTAAATGTTTTTGTTCCTAATTTTAGTTTACTCTGTTGAGGAAAGCTCTTGTTTTAATTTGCTAGAAAGGTCCTTTGGATAGGTTTAAGAGGTTTGCAAAGACAATCTAAAGACCTGCTTACTGTCATTCATGATGAAAGCTGGTCTCACCATTTCCATTCCTAAAATAGCTGTCTAATACACATAGGGTGCTGAAGGGGACCATGTGCCAATGCCCCACACACACTTGGGAAAGCAGTGTCTGCTCATCTGTCTAGAAGAGGGTTTTCATGGCAGAATCCAGCAAGACTGAATGGGGGCCGCCATTACCCCATAAAGGGGCTGCTTGTCCCTGCTCCTCCACCCTCCCCAGGCACATGCTGGCCTGTGATGCCACGTGAGGAGCTGCCACCCCCAGCGATGGAATGCACTGACAACACCAGCCTTTGTGTGGCTGGGGTTGACATTCAAGGAAAGTGCATTGAGAATTCCTTGAGGAGGCATATTCTTCTGCAAGCCATAAATGAAAAGTGCATTTACAAAGAGCATTCTCCTTTGTTGTTCAGAAAGAAAGGAGGGCTGTGTTGTGGCCTTTAAGGAACAGGTTTTCCGGTTCCCTGGAATGTGGGGCCTTATGGGGAAAGGGATGGGGCCTCTGTGAGGAGAGGATAGCCTTGGGGCCGAGACTGGATGCACTGGTTCAGTCCTCACACCTCTTACTTTATGCACACACCAGCTCCCTTCCTGTGTCAGCAGTGACCCTGGAGCTGCTTAGGCCTAAGAAGCCAACAGCTTGAAGTGTGAGCTCTGGGGACTTTCCTTCTTATCTAAGGAAGTGAAGTTTTACAGAAGAGCTCAACTGCTCAGGGATTGTTAGTCCCAGACAGTTCACACAAAAGGTTGCCAGAAAAAAAGGAACTATTCTTCCTCCATAGCACTATTGCTTTTAAAGCCACCCATTAGATGACTTTTCCTATTTTTCTCTATTTTACATTAAAAAATCTATTTATAACCTGCTAGTCTCAGCATGGCCTTAGTCAACATTCAGACTACTTATATGCCTCTAGTTGTGACAGTGAAGACTAGGAACAGGTCCAGTTATTCAGTGCTATGGGGTATGATCAGTCTTGTAAATTCACAGACGGTTCATTCCCTGATATTTTTCATTACATTTTAATTTCATTCAACATCATTACTTCTAAAGTGGCTTCATTCTCCATTGTTCACACGGTATCCTGATTCTGTTGCGGTGTTCCGTGATCCCATGAGAGTTTACCATGTGGAGATGATACAAAGGACATGGTAGAGGGCATCTGTGTGGCACTTGGTGGCTGCCTGTCGGGCCCCACAGTCAGGACTGGAAGCGATGACTTTGCTCACCAGCATGTAGGAGAGCACGCAGAACTGCATGGCTTCTCTTCATGAGGCTGTGGTACCTGACTCAGCCACTTACTGCCTCAGTTTGGCAAGAGTTGTGGCCAGAGATCCTCTAGAGAAACCATAAATATGGTGGGCTGCATTTGTTTCTGCACCCACGTTGACAATTTCTGTGATTTCCTGTAGGAATTCCCTCTGCTGTGTCTTTATCCTGATCAGTTATTAATTATGGGTATCTCTGGCTCAGGCACCAGCCACCTACTATATCCTTCTGTTATCTCAGGGGGCACCATTTCTACTGTTACTGAAGTCAGAGAGAATTACATTGGGATTTGATGTGCCTGTGTTGGGAGTGGTTTTGCTGCACCCTCTGTACAAGTGATACATTTGTAAGTTATATTTGTGTATTTAATAATGATTGCCTCTGGCAGTTGTATGACAATTTGATTTTGTTGTGAACTTCCACTTTATGTATATTTCTGCCTTTTATGCATTAAACAGTTTGATAGACCACGGATGGTGTACTAATTGCATGTGAACTTTTTAATGTATCATTTTTGATTACACTGCCTAATTAATTGCACTGTGCAATGGATATTTCCATGACCTTGTGACAGGAACAGCAGGTAAGTCTGCGCACCTGCAACTCCTTCCACAGCTGCAGGTGCAGGTCACTGTTTCTCACTCATCTGCTGTTATCCACAAAGACATGCTCTCTCCATTGACAGCGTGATGTCCTGGTCTTGCTGTTATTCTTTCTATTTCTATTGTTCTTGTTCTTCTCTTTTTACTGTTGCTCTCAAAGCGTCACCCTCTGGATGTCAGAGGAAGTGTGGAGGCTGTGTACATGAAACAGATAACCCCTGAATGAATTAGCGTAACAGTGGCTGCCCCTCCTGTGCTCCGTGGTGGGGATGTGTTCAAAGGGTGACAAAGCAGCCTCAAGAAGCTGGAATGGGAGCTGTGCTGGCTCTTCCTGAGAGTGATACTGTGTAGTGCATAGGTGGATGGCAGACTTGGGGGACTGATGAGTGAGAAACAAGAATCCAGACATTTACTTAACGTTGGCATAGGCTGCCCTCCCTCTGTGTGTCCTGTCCTGCTGGTAGGTCTTGTCCTAACTCCTCATTTCAAATTCATCTTCATTTTAAGGCACTGATTTCCCCCCCTCCTTGGCTTTGCTTTTGGTAAAAGCATTAGCCGTTTGGTAAAAGGCAATTCTGACTGGTTGATGGTGAGCTTAGCTTAATATCTGAAGAAATAGGTAATTACTGGGGGAAGACGGATCATTACCTCCGTCCGAGCTCACATGGAAATCTCCCGTTACCCTCATTTAGAATTTAAGGAGATGGAAATCCCTTACCCAGCTCTGACTTACCAGGTTAGGAGTTGTTTCTATTATATCTATCACTACCATCTTAAATGCCCTGAAATCGTTCTACTTCATAAAATAGTAAAAAAAGAAAAAGAACTAAAGAGAAATGAAGTTTTCTGGGTGTGATGGTAGAAGGGACAGAGCTAGGTAAAAAGTCTTACTGAAACCTTCTTCCTGAAGAGGGCACTGTATCACAGATGAAACATAAAGACAATTTTCTTCTGAGGTGATGAGTTCCTAGCATGGATGTGGCCCATACACCACCAATTGAGGACAGCTATGTCTTATCAAGACAGAACAACCACAAGCTTATTCATGGGGACATCCTGTAAGACTTATGTCCAAGAGTCTCTCTCTTGTAGTGCATTACTCATGAATGAAAGTCACTAGCAGCTGGGCATAGAGGCACACGCCTGTAATCCCAGCACTCGGGAGGCTGAGGCAGGAGGATCACTGCGAGTTTGAGACCAGCCTGGGCTACACAGTGAGTTCCAGAGCAGTCTGAACTACATAGTGAGACCCTGTCTCGAAAAAAAAAAAAAAAAAGCCACTAGCAATCCTTGCTAGCATAGAAACAGCCCCTCTCATGCAGGGAGGGAGCATCATTTCAGATGCACAGATAAGCATGCATCACTGCAGATTTGCCTCTTCGAACCGCAGCGTGACAACTTTCAGTAATACGGTGACACCTTAGTTCACAAACTCAGTTCTTTCCAGGATTCTGGTCACAAACCTAGTTGGGTGAGAACAGGATCAAACTGAGCGGTTAGGTTCCATGTTGACCTTATGGGATAAGTTCATTTGGTTAATGAATTGAGTGAGGTAGCACTGTACTGAGTACGCTAACATTCTGGGTCATGCTACTCGGTCATCTCCAGGCATACCCACCATTAAAAATAATCCATTTCGTCTATAGCCAGTGCAAAAAGTCTCTTAAAACCCTTATTATTGATTTATCTTTTCACGTTGTAAGCCAGTCCACATCTCTTTCCTTCTTCTCCCCCTCCTCTCTCCCCCGTGAGGTAGCACTGTACTGAGTACGCTAACATTCTGGGTCATGCTACTCGGTCATCTCCAGGCATACCCACCATTAAAAATAATCCATTTCGTCTATAGCCAGTGCAAAAAGTCTCTTAAAACCCTTATTATTGATTTATCTTTTCACGTTGTAAGCCAGTCCACATCTCTTTCCTTCTTCTCCCCCTCCTCTCTCCCCCCCTCATCAGTCACATCACCTGAACTTTGTTGATGTGGCATACGCTCGCACAGCTAATAGAACGAGGGGAGCATACTAAATTAGAGGCAAATACTGTCTTGCAAGATGCAAGGCAAGAGTTGAAGTTGACATTATAACTTAGGCCATAGAATCTTAAGTTCCCAAATTCCTAAACTTCAGCATGTCAGGAAGAAAATATCGCTCCATGTGACTGTTAGAGTGACTTTTTGAACACTACAACTTCTGAAGACATTCCCTTGTACCCAGTAGAAGGTTCAAAGAGGCTACATAGTGACAACCACAGTTAACCCCCACAGAGTACAGGTGAGTTATGCTTATAAATTCAGTGCACAGCTAACACACTTGTTACAAAAGAAAATAAAACTGCAAATAGAATTGAACGTGATTGTATCCATTTCATCATAGACTTGAAAAAGTTCACTCCACACTTCCCAGACCAGGGAATGCTCCCTTTCCCTGCTCTCTTTGAAATCATTTATATCCAAGGCCTGCTACAATACTAAGGGCAAGTAGTCACATAATTTGGTACAGGACTCCAAAAGAGAAGAAGCAGTAATCTTTTCCCTAATCTCTCCTCGCACTCCTTTCTCTCTGGGTCCTCTCCTTCCTTTCTGCCCTGGCCTCTCCGAGGCCCATCCACCCATCATCCCATCACACCTTCCCCTGAGCACTCTTCCTGCATCCTCCATCGCTCACTTGCTCCACCCCGCCTAGGCCTGGCCTCGCTCATCCTAGAGGAGTGAAGCCGGAGGACTGTGGGGTGTGCAGGCAGTGCCCACCCCGGACTCACGCCGCCCACTCTGTGTCCTCGGCAGGTACCCTGGCTAAAGCAGAGCAGAAGCCCTCTGGCCTCTCATGCCCGCAGCCAGCCTGGGCTATGCAACATGTACAAGGTAAGACATGGTCGCCGTCCCCGCCTGCTGAGGGCTATGTATGTGAAATATTTTGTGCCCAGGGTCCTCAGAGTTGGTCACATCAGGACCTCCAGGGGTGCTGTCTCAGGAACACAAGTTTCCAGGGGCATCTGTGAGTTGTCACAAAGCCAGAGAGGTGGGTCCTGAGGAGCCGAGGCAAGCGGATTATGCAAACAAACCAACCAAAGGAAAACAAGAGGAGTGTAGTAGAGGAGCTGCCTTCCTGTGGCCACCTCAATGGGTCAGCCAGGACAGGGCATGGTGTCAGGTCGGCATGATGGAAAAGCCCTGCAGTGTGACCATCAGTGATGTCCCATAGCCAAGGGGGCAGCGGGGGGCCCTGGGGTAGGAGGGCTGGCCTGGACACAGTCGCTTGCACATCTGTGCTCAGGGTGCTTTGAAAATCAGATGCTTAGCATTCACTACGTATACCGTATGAATTGGCCTTGGAAAGCGCCATCCCATGCGCTCTGCCCTCACTGAACTCAGCCCTGCTCACAGAGAAAGGACATCGCTGGGGTTTAGCCTCACCGGGTGGATGCTGCTTCCTTTCAGAGCACCAAAATACCTGGATGGTTTTAGGGAAGGCAGGGAAAGTGCACCCTAGGGCCAGCCCTTGTCCCCATAGTGAGGAGTGACTTGCTTAGGTTATAGATTTACCTCTAGGGTAAAAATAGTCACTGTGTGTTCCTTAGGCCCCGGGAAAGTGCATAAGGTTGAAAACACAGCATGAAGCCTGCACATGGAGATCATTCTTCCACTTAGCTCCAGTGAGCACTACACCTGCATTCGGGGGGGAAGGTGTCCAAGGAGCTGGTGGAGGGGAAACTTCCTCTGTGGAGGTTAGAAATATTCAAGGAGGAGCCCCCACAGCTGACCACGGTAGAGCCTCTGGGACAGAAGCCTTCGCTTTGAGCCTGGGCAGGACCCATGGAGGAGGGTGCTCTGCCCAGGCCGGGGCTGGCAAGGTTGAGCATCAGGGTGGGTACTGTGCCCTCCCTTGTGGGGATAATTGGGGCTGCGAGGAGTAAGGTGCACACCCCAGCCTCCAGACAGCCAGGCCAAGACTGGGGTCAGCAGAGGGCATCCCGAGTCCAAGGCACCAGGGCCTTGGAGGTGCCGTGCCAGAACAGCACCAAGGCAGATGGCGGCGTGAAGAGCCTGAGTAGTGGCGGGCTGAGGTTCATTAGCAGAGCCTGTTTTCATGCCTCAGGAGGCAGGCACCATGCAGAGTCTCAGCACCTCACCGAGTCTGTAGCACCTTGACTCAGGCACAGCTGTGTGGCTGTGCCCAATGTGCAAGCGCTGTCTCAGTGACTTCTTCCTGCAAACACCACTTCCCCCAGGTGGTTCCTGAGGGTAACCTGACCCTCCAGTGCCAGGCTTTCCTGCCACCCACCTGGGCCTGAGGCCCCTGGGTTCCCTAGACTGGGGCAGGGCTGGGCCAGCAACCTCTGCCTGACAGGCAGCAGACCCTAAAGGCCCAAGAGTGCAGGGCTTGTGAGAAGGGCATTTTCAGTTCCGCAATGAAAGTGTGCAGTCTGACAAGGGAGCAGGGATGCACCGGCCCTGGGAACACACCCTAAACGCTGCCGCCGCCACCCTGCTCCCTTCTGCCCTCTGTTTGCAACACAGACCCTGCAGAGAGATGGAGAGTGTGCCAGGAATGCCATGATGTTGCAGAGTGGATCACAGTGAGGGACTTTCAACAGAATGTTTGATTTTTCTCCTTTAAAATGTTACGTACAGGCTCATAATCCCACGGGAGGCTAAGAAGCAGGAGGATCAACATTTCAAGACTTTTCAAAATAAAAAAAATATGAAAGGGGCTGGAGATATAGCTCCGAAGTAGAGCATCCCTGGGTTCAGTCCCCAGTACCCCCAAAAAAACCCCATTTAGCAAAGAAGAAAACTAGTGATCCCAGACAGGTTTGTGTGTAAGCATTTAAAAACCTGGCCCAAACCTCATCCCTGCAGAGTTTTGGTCCCCTGAGGACATGTTATCAGCTGATTAAAACAGTGAGTCTCCAGCCCTGGGCTGTTTGTGTTCATTGATCTTTTGTGGATGCCCCATTCTGTTCCAGATAGGGTTTGGATTATCTTGCCTGACTACATCCTTGAGTTTTCCTAAAACATAAAATGTCTGGGTGTGTGGTATTTATATGTCTACCAAGCACAGGAAAAACAACAGCATAACCTACAGTTGCTATAAGAGATGCGTCCAGTAATATTGTTCTGAATGGGCAGAGAACTCTTCCTGGCCCCCTGTGCTAAGGCACCCATGCCCATCGGGTCCCCTGAGGCAGGACCAGTGATGCCTGGTGAAGGTGGCTGCTCTGAGAAGCTGTGGTGTCAGTGTCACCTTCCTGCTGTCACAATTCCATGATGCTTTCAGGCCTGCGATCTCCCTTCTAGTCTTTGATGAAGAGATGTGATGATAACCCAACATAGGCTATTCATTATTATTTCAAGAAAATGATTAAGATTCGTACAGAGTGAATTTAACATCATCGGCCGCAGGGAAAGCATTGCAGGAGCAGAAGTATACATCAAAATACGCTTGTCATCCCAGGATTTTATGACAAAGGTCTGCAAGGAGTCAGAGCCACTGGGTGGCAGCCACAGGTTGTCAGCAATTTACAGCAGGAGGAACCAAAACACCCTTCCCGCAGGTGAGACACTGGGCCATGATGAGCTCTGCTGAGCATTGGCCTCCACTCTGGTGACCCCAATGCACTGCCTTCTCTTTCTCTCTGCAAAATCACCAGCAGGGGGGAAAGACCCACCTTCCGTGAAGCTGGAGGTCACACAACTTGTAGAAGATTCGTTCCAGTGGTGTTGACCACTTCATCAGGTCCAGGCCTCTGGGCCAGTTCTTCCATTCCAGAGTCTCTGCAGTTTCCTTGGGACCAGCTCTGCCCGTTTTTCTTGGGCCAGGAGGGGAAATGGAAGGGTGCAAACACAGACAAATGGAATACCATTTGAGAACCCAAACAGTTTGAAAAGTAAGAGTTCTGGAGAGAAAGGAGGTGGGAGGCGTACAACGGGAAACAACCAACGGGAGATGATGGACAGACAGTCCTCAGGTGCCCCTCTGGGCAGCTCCACCACTCCCTCCTGCGTTCTGAATCTCAGGGGCTCAGTCCCAGGCAGGGGCTGGCACCAGGCAACACTGAGTACCACTGGAGGAAGGTCACTGCAGAGGAAGTCTGACAGGAGCCCAGGGAGGAGACTCTGCCTGCAAGGATGGCTGCTATCGCTACTCATGTGAATTTGGCCAGAAACCCAGGCACAAGGCCACCTCTGCTATCCTCACCCCTCATTCACTCATCTCTGCTTCTTCTGGAAGGAAGTCTGCCCTGCCTGTAGATGCTCGCCTGTCTTAGAGGGCCCTAGGTGTTTGCTGAAATGCTCAGGCTGGATCTGAAACTGCCAGCTGTCCCCACAGCACACTGTGGCTTGAGAGGTGTCTTTGTGTCATGGGAGAGGGTGGAAAAGTCACAGATACATGGTCTGGGGTTCATTCTGCTGCTCAGCAGCAGCATGGCCTTGGGCCTGCTGTTCATCTCTGAGCTGCAGTATCTCATTCACGAAACAACAGTGAACACAAGATGGTCGTCTGCCCTGACAGCTCTGGTGAGAAAAGGAACGTACACTCGGAATGGATTCATCCTGAGTATGCACAAGTATGGTCAGTCCTATCTCCATGCCGCTAGGAGCTAGAAAGATACACAGCCCCTCAATGGAGCCTTGGACAGGAGTAGAATTTCCCCTGAAGCTCTGAGAGGCCCCAGCCCTCTGCCTTGTGCCAGCTGTGGCCTCTGAGCAGTTGCGTTTCTGCTCTCAGGTCTCAGTTTCCTCAACTGTAAAATGAAAGTGTCGCCTCAATGACAAATGCTGCAAATATGTACTTGGAGACCGTGATCCACCAGTCTCTTGCTCTGCCTCGGCTCTGGGTCCAAATCTTGTTGCTTCACTTTCCCTTCCAAAAGACAACCTCCCAGACCTTCAGGTTAGCTGTGTGCCTGCACTTTGCCAGGTGGGCACTGAGTTCTGAAGCCACGAGAAAGTCATCCAGGGTCATTGCTGTTTGGTTGATGCCCCTACTGACACCAATCCTGTATTTATGATAAAAAGTGTTTTCTTGGAAATAATTTTTTAAAATGAGTGCTTGGAAGCAAAGGGAAAAAATAGCTGAGTGATCAAGACCAACACCAGGGCCTACTTCTGTCATCCTGAGAAGGGGACATGCAAAGCCTCAGTTACTTGGCACTCCAGAACAGCTGGACTATTGCAAGGCTTTCACCAGCAGCTCCTGGCTGCCCTGGGGTCAGGAAGCAGGTGAGAACCACCCGAGCTCCTTTCAGCAGGAGCTCTTTGTGTGTCTCCTGAGCGGGAGCAGAGAAGTTGCCTGTCCCTCAAATCACTCTTAGTGGTTGTCAAAGGGGCACAAGAGATGCCTCAGCAAAATGGCCCTCAGAGCAAGCTGCCACCAAGTTGTTTATCTAGGTCAGATCTGCCATGGAAAGCACACCGTGCTGCCGTGACTTCCACGTCAACCTAACAACGGCCTCCAGTTGCACTAGGGCCATTTGTCCACCTCTGTCAGGAGCCACTGGCCAGGACATGAGAGCTGGGCACACGCATCACAACTGTCCCCAAAGGGCCAGGACTGCAGGCTTGGAGAGTGCTTGCTCCCTTGGCAGAAGCATGGGCTGCTGCTGTGCACTTGCCCTGGCTTTCTGTGCCTGGGACTGAGCTTCAGATGCATTATCCAGGGAGGGCTCTGATGCCAACCCCTACATCACCAGAGAAGGAAGGTCAAGCCCCCAAAGGAGGCCAGTGGAGCTCTGTCCCCCTACTCCTGAGTGAAACATAGGAAAGGCAAACAGAACTAGCTATGCCCTCTCAACCACATTTCAATAGCATCTCAACTGCTTTCTGCTCCCAATTGGTTAAAAGTAGAAACACACTTGGAA